TTGGGTTTAGATCGCGTTATTTATAAATGTGTCGTAACCCTCCACCATCCGACACGGCCAATCAGTAAAAAAGTGTCACGTTGACAAAAGACAAAGAGTTCACTGCTTTAGCCAACCGGTGTGTTGAAGCGTGAAACCACAACATTTTGAGTAATATTGGTCGTGAAAGCCTACGTGTTAAACTTACATCTCTTTGTCGACAACGATGCAGGATTAAAGCCGACGTATGCCTTGTTGGCATGTCCATGAAACGACGGTTGCAGAATCAGCTCAGATATCACTCTTCACTCATGTTAGCCGTGGCGAGAATCAAACTGAAATCACTGAGTTCATTGCATACATCGCGAACCAATGCACCATCATTCCACCCCAACGTATGTCCAATGTCAAACATCAGAGCCACCACCAAATAATTGAGACTGCCAACAACTCCATGGCTTAACATTTCTAAAACGTGCTTGTTTTAATTCATCCACTAGAGGGCGCAAAAGAACCAGTTATGTATTTTAAAAAAATGTGCATTGCAATGAGGAATGTTCTATTGTATGGCAGCAAATATTTAGCAAAGTTGGCCCAAGAAAGGACGACTGCATTGGTAGTAGACGCAAATGCAGATAGAGGTCACCCTCTAAACATCAAATGTCCATGAAATGCCTTTAATGCTTAAGTTAAGAATCAATATATTCTCACAAAAGTAAGACAATTTTATGCAACATATAAAGTTACATTTCTATATTTGGTCAGGAATATAGCATTTGCAGAGCATGCTGAATACATGGAGAATATAGCCTATGCACGCCATTATCCTCAACACAACTTATTATATATTGTATATGAAAATATTAGAAGCCCAATGGGAATTAGAGGCAAACGAATATGCAGCACTAAAATATCCTTTATAAACAAGATTAAACTCATGACATTTGGCACAAATTTAAAAACAAATTAAGAAATACTGTACTGAATATTGGCCAGATCATTACGTGGTCCTAACAAATTAATCAATTATGAATTGTACTTAATATGTTTCATGCAGTGTTTCAAAATTGCATGTTCTGGTTAAAAGTAACAACTGTGATTGTGGCCAGGTGGATTGGAGGTCAGGACACTGAGCTGACACTGCCAAGATTCTAGATTCAGTTGTAAGGCAGCCATCCAGAATAAAAACTGGGTTCTCAAGTGCAGTGAATTTATATTCTGACCCTGGATGTAAATATCTGTTTTAAATCACCATTTTGAAATTCGCATTTTAACTTAATTTGGCAAAATTCCAGCTGACAATTAAACATATTGGCTCGACTGCAATGTGATGAACAATCGAAAGTGTGTGGGATAAGGGAACTGACCTGTGTAAAGAATAAAAAGGCCACTTGAAGAAAATTTGTTGGAGAAGTCCGTTCCCCAATATATGGCGTGGCGACTACTAATCAAGATTTCCGAAAGGTTTATTAATCTTGGGACTTCATGTTATGCAAAGATTTGATGAATAAAATGTAGGCTATTAAGTTCAAACGTTTTATCCAAGAAGTCACAACAAATCTCCTGTTGGGCGCTATCTCAAATCTTTGTTTTATGTACTGTACTCATAATAATAAGTGCATTAAGTTAAAATGAAAATTAAGTTTCACGATTGGGGAATGCAGATACTTTTAATAACCCACTGCAAAACTATTCATATATATAAAGTAAATGTCAAGTTTCTGATTATGGCAACATAAAAAAAAATCAAGTCTTGTCTTACTGCAGATCATACATACATGGTGTCCATAATATTATCCATTATTAAATAATAAAACACACAATATTTTCAACTATGTGGTTGATATATTGGGAACATTTTCCTAATGGTTCAGTTTTTTGGGTTTTAATTTACCAATACACATGAATGTCTTCAACAGCACATGATAGAATTGAAAAAAATCAAGCCAGAAATGTCGGTGACTATCTGGGACAAACCTCAATACAAAGTGTGTCACACCAATGCCATGGCAGATATGTGGTGATTTAGTGATGAGACTCATACAATCTACACACCACCAAGTGTACAAGTTTATTCAATTCTCCCCATCTGTCCCATCAGCAGTATAAATGGGTAAACTGCAGTTAGTTGATGGGCAGGTCACGCGTGGATACTCCCAACTCTTCCATGGCCAGTATGGAAGAGTAGGCCAAATACCCTCTAGGGGGACTCTCTAGAGTGGCAACTCGTGGAGGCCTTTCCACCCACAGTGTTGTGAAAGTAATTGCAGGGCTGCACCTTTACCTTTTGTTTTTTACGACAAATGTGAGCATATATAGAATCAACCTAGCTCAAACTGCAGTTCTATTTTTCAATGAATTAGACATTGATGGGCACCCTGTATATACATACAGTTTATTGCACGCATTTACTTTATACATATACCTTAGATTATGAAGCAAGGTTTTTTTTTGTTATATATAGAAATGAATGTGGCACATAAAAGATAATAACATTCGAGTTTCTACACGACTTCCGCTGTTTTTATTGATTTATTTCTCCTACGAATTCAGTTGGAATGAAAATGAAGCGAAGCGATCCATTGTCTCTGCATTTTGTTAATAGTCTGCTGAACAGCTGGCAACAAAGAAATACATTAACGGAAAAACGAGAGAATGGCCCCAATAGCAATTAAGGGGATAAAACCACACTGCAACCAGCTGCAACAATGGTACACAATATAAAGGTTTCACTCTTCCATTACCATGAGCTTTATTACACACAGAAAAGAAAAAGCTTAAAATCCCAATTGCTAGATCCTGTCCAGCTAAAATATGTCAAACATATTAAAGTTTCTTAAAATATAATTATTTAACATTTTTAAGGGATAATGTGTTACATTAAGCCAGTGTGTGTGTCTGTCAATTTAACAATGGGTTATTTTTCCCTTTAAAAGCCAACATTCATCATTTGCTTTAATTACTGTAGTAATTAGACCATACTCCCAAGATTTTAAACTTAGCATAACTACCAGAGTGAATTTCGACAGAATGTACTTACTCACTAATGGATTAAATTAAAGCTCTCTTTGTTAATGTAAAATTTTCGATAGACTTTGGGTGTTTTACAGACATTACTGCCCGACACGTCAGTTAAAAATAAGATAAATCTATTTTAAACGAGGCAGCCATGCATTGCGCCTCGAGATATTTCTGCTGCTACTTCTAGGCTCTTCGATGAGTTGCTTTCGCTTGGCTGCTGGAGCGATTTACAATTTACACCGAGTCCTAAGAATCATAAACATAGTGTTTAAATACACTAGTTGTCAAAGTATTTCACTTTTTCGTTTTCTTAAACTATCAGTATTATCCGCTCATCTCTTGGTGCGTGCACGCGCACTCGGCTTTTTCAACGCATCTCACACGAATGCGATACCAACATTTCACCACTAGGTGGCTCTATCGGTTGTGCAAGATTGATGTTTTTGAATGTACGTTGAACTTCTTTCGCGCCGTACGTAGCCAACCGCGCTAATCGGAGGTGCGCAATTTCGTAAAAAAAAACTACACATATTAGCAATTTGTATTCCGGTACGTCACAAATAAAGGTCAAGAGTTTATCTTTGAGATAAACCTTATATTTGGAGATCATTTGCAGACGAAAGAGTTCGAGGTACAGAGAGATAGATATATAAGGTCCCCAACCAAATACAATAGCGTCTCCCTATGGGAGAAACTAATAATGGCATTTTAATTTTAAGAAGTCAGTTAAAAGCTGCTGCTCTTGTGACACAACAGCCTCCAACCATGCTCGACATTTTTCCAACAAAAGTGCACACCTTCCTCAAAATATACACCCCCTGCCATGGCCAGGGTTCACTGTTGCGAGCACTCTCCTGGCTTATCTTCGTCCACTTCCCCCACCTTCATCCATCTCTTCTCCATTTCCACCTGGCACACGGCATGCAAGAGAGCGTGCATTCGTCTTAGCACAGCAACCTTGGTGACAGAGAAAGCCTTTCACCACCGTCTCAAATACCGTCGTTCGACCCCGGCACTGGGCTCCTCAAAGTGATCCACCACACATCAACAGAAGCCATTTCCTGGATAGGTAATCGTCGATCATCCAGCCGTGGTGTAACGGGTTAGCACACTGTACTTTAAATCCTGGTGTCACCAGTCCAATTCTATCCCACGGCGCGGCCAAACGAAACAATCCTGCCGCCACAGTTCACTCAGCAGCATAAATGGGTACACCATGGTTAGTCGACCGGTAGGTCGCGTGTGGTGAAGCAGAGTGTGGGCCACTCTTATACCCTCAAGGATGACTGGCCAGCATGCAAGTGTAAGCAATCGTAACCCTCCAGAAGTTTCCTCTCGAGCTCCCTCTAGTTGCGACCCTTCCGCCAGCAGGGGCGTGACCGAGCAATTGCAGGGCTGCGCCTTTATCTAGTATACGAGATAACTTGGTGCAATTAATGTATTATACACGACAAGAAGATTAAAGCTTCAGCACATTTCGTATTTGCACTATTCTTATAGCTATGTTTCGAACAGTCTGCAATAGTTCCACAGTGCAGGGTGGGGGGGGAGAGGCTTGATTGCTATGCATTCTCCCAATTCGGTAATACAGAAAATATAATATTGCAGTACTACACCTTTAACTTAATTTCACTCATCCAGCCATAAGCACCTCTGTTCAGCACGGTTGGCTATGTACTCTGCTAAATAAGTTCAACATACATACATAAACACATAACCAAGAAGAACCCAGAGTTTTTAGATTTGAAGCTTTCGTGACTGCAAGGATTCATATTCTTAGGTTTTTTCGGTAAAGTCACGTAGGTAAAACATCAAAATTAATGAAAATTAAATAAAATAAAAATCACGACGTTTCGGAGGCAACACACGGAGACTTGTGTTGCCTCCGAAACGTCGCGATTTTTATTTTATTTTATTTTCATTAATTTTGATGTTTTACCTACTTGACTTTACCGAAAAAACCTAAGAATATGAACCCAGAGTTGTCCATCACTTCGTACCTGGTACCGATAATGCCCTCGGTAGCTGATGTTCTTGATAGCGTCCACGTTCCCCACCACGCTCACGGAGCGGACGTTCGCCCCAGAGGCGGTGGTGGTCTGCATGTCGAACTCCGCCTCCAACGAGTGGAAGAAGCCTCTCGGCACCTCCTGGTCCGAGCCCAGCTCCAGGCGGCACGTGAAGCAGTGCGGGTGGTCGGCCGCTGGCGCCGGGCAAAAGCGAGCGACGCGTCAACAATCGCAAGGGTCTGACAATGTCGGCGCCACACTCGTGATCACTCCGGTGCGGTTGATGTCGCTGTCGAGTGTGCGGGTAGTGCTACCGCACCAGGGCCCATGGGACGAAGGGCCGCAGGATAAGGTTGCCACCTGAAACTAAACTAAAACTGAACTACAGTAAAACCTTGGATTGCGAGTAACTTGGTCTGCGAGTGTTTTGCAAGACGAGCATTTTTTTTTATAAATATTAATTTGATAAACGAGCGAGGTCTTGCAATACGAGTAGTACGTATACGCTTTGTCTGCCGAGCGTCACGTGATCACAACTGATATACGAGTGCTTTGATATACGAGTGCTTTGGATTACAAACACGTTTCCGGAACGAATTATGCTCGCAATCCAAGGTTTTACTGTATTTGTATATTATCAGGTAAGGCCCACTGAGCTATGGAGCACTTTTTCAGAAGCACCTGGCCACAAATTATAGCCCAACGAAGTGGCTTATTGTGTGGAACTTTATAGCAGCCAAATACTTTCAACACATATGGATTCTAAATATGCAGGGAAACACCAGAGGACCCTGGAGAAAAATCCACACAACCACGGGGAGAGAGACATACAGACTCCAAATATGCAGGCGTCAGCATAGGGATCGAATCCACGACCTCCTGTATATCAGGAGAGGTAGTTAACATTTCACCACCTGTGAAGGAGAAACAACTGCGACATACCATGAGGAGAAGAATATCTCACGATACCGGAAGAGCTCCATGTGAATGCACTTTCTTGGCTGGTGTATTGTTAAGTGACAGGATTTCCCCAGAAAGACGTACAGGATATCTAGCTACCTCAACAAGAGGACAATCTTGGGGGAAACCAGGATAGGTGGTAACCCCAGCCTAGGCGCTGGGCAACAAAGAGAGGGGAAATGATACGTGAAGCCCCATCTCATTCCTTGCACCAGGGTCCATACCAGCCATGCTATGCCACTGCTGCGGTGTTCAAGAATTCCATTGTCATCCCCACCCCCCAGATGCATGCTGGGAGATATAGAGAGAGAATAAAGGAGGGACACATAGATCAGAGAACATGTGCCAATTAAAAACAATGGTGACTCTTATGAACTCTAAGTTGTCTTGGGCAGGACATATTGCTTGAAGGGATTATGGCCGATGGGCGAGACTAGTGACAGAATGGCAGGAAAATGAAGGAACATGCCCCAGAGCATGACCACCGAAGCAATAGTGGCGACACGAACTCACGTGCGGGAGCAAGATGGATTAGAGCATTGTTAGACGGAGCAAGATGTCGATGACGTGGGGACTGAGGAGGATGACGATAGATCACTTATTAATTTAATTCCCTCTGCCCATTCTCTTTAACCCCATCATCAAAATCCTCTGATGCAGTCACTGGATTAGCAGCAAGGTTACCCTGAGAGTCTTCAAAATCTTCCATCGACTCACCTCTGGCTACCTTTCACCACTCCAGCTTTTCATTTGCTTTCTGTTCTGGCAACTAGGGCCTTGTGCTGAAGCCCAATGTCAACATTTGCACAGTGGGAGGTCATTCCTCCCTTCTCCGCTAATGCCCCTGTTGTGTGGGGCTATCGATTCCCTGCCACTGTTAAAGTTCAGGCTCAAGACCTTCCTTTTCTCAAACGTCTGTTTCTTCTCATATATATATATATAAATTCAACTTCTTAGATATTATACAAAGACAAGGATCTCCCGTATAGCCTTAACAAATTGTTGGGGCAAGTGCTGTTATCGAGCACCGATGAAGGCCGGCACGGTACACGAGGGGGTGGGTGGCCAGCACCACGCCTGGCCGCCTTTGTCTCCCGAGTAGCGATGTTTACACATCGCACCAGGTACTCATTTGAGGCGGAGTCGACCTAGGGGAGATAATCGTCACTGGTGTTGGCCGTCAGCAGAAATCAAACTATGGGTTGCCAGGTTCGTAATGCAGCGCGCTAACTGCTCACACACAGACCTCCTTCTTCTCTGTGATGCACATCCCTCTGTTTGCGAGAGGTGCAGTTGCATTTTGACACGAGACAAATACAAATAGTATTTTATTCTCGGTGCAGTAGATGGTAATCAGCAATTATCCACGCTTAGACTGACTTAAGTCAGTCTAAAAGCATAGCACTGGAAGAAGACATGCTCCACCATTTAAGTAATTTACTGTGACAGGCATGAGCACCCTTCTGCAATGCAGTAACGTAGTGCATTCCGTCTTGTTATCTTGGGCGAAGCCGTAGAATGGGAGAGTCAAATAAAGAGACCTACTGTATTTTCCTCGTCAAAAAGCAACTATTTTGTTTTTGGCGGAGTGATCCTCCGCAAGGCGTAATGAGTCCCGGTATCCTGCGTGCAACGCCCCTCATGACAAGCATGCCAGCATCAGGACTCGAGGTAAGTGAAAATAAAGCTGCTTTTTTTTTCTTTTCGTGTTATGCTATTTATTTATGATGCAGTATTTCTTACTGCACCACTTACAAATGTACAATATTTATTCTTATGAGTTAAACAATGGTTCCCTTTTGTGTTGAACCGTAACACATGTTTAAGGCACTGATCGTACGTGCTGTACAATTAAATATTGAGTTCCGAGATACGAAAAAATAGACTTATGAACGGGTCTAAGGAACGTAACCCATTCATAAGTCGAGGACTGCCCCTATCTGTTGATATCCTCAGGGGGAAATCTTCTTGACAAAGTCTTGAGATTTGGTGCAGTCTTCCTGCATATATGAATACATTTTATTATTAATATAATTTTGAAATGATGACGAGAATTTCAAACGAGAAGCACATTTTCATAACAATTTCGGGGATTTCTTTTCAAACAAATGCAGAAAAACCAATCCTTTTTTTTTTAAACCTCACTTAGTTTAAAAATGATTAGTTTCAAAATTATAGCTGCATTGTACAATGGATCCGGTGATCTGCAAACAAAATATATCCCGGCCACGGCTAACATCAGTGACTAGTGACAAATGAACGAGTGCTCATTGCTGCCCCTACCCCAATTCACCAACCCGACAACCACCATGACCGACACGGTGCAGAACATCTTTCATCCAGTAGACAGTTGATAAAGGCTTGTGAATGCTTATTATTAATCATCGTTAATGTTTTGGAGGATGTATACACACTGTATATAATGGTTAAGGTAAATAGGTTATCATAGCGAAAATCGCTCATGTCACCGTACCTCTAAAAATAATTTGTTTCCCTTTTTCTAGATCCCATAATTGCTGTACGTAGCATGGTAATTGTAAACATATACAGCTCTATGTCAATCCACTGCTAGATCACCCCACACCATGCCAGCCATGGGGGCTTGTTGGACCATACTTTGCCATGCCGGCCAGTGCAGGCCGATGAAGGGGATGCCCATCACCAGGCGGCTCCCTTTCATTACACCCAATAATTTTATACGTTTAAACACTAAAAAAAGCAGTTTCAAACTCTCAATTAACGATACAAAAAGTAACAGCTGTGACAAGAGTGTAAGAATGGTGGGAGAGGTATTTTCCCGAGCAGTGGCTGGATACAGGATCATTTCAACAACTTTTTACGATATATACGCAAGTCACCGAGAGCAGCGATGATCGAGGGTGGTTTCCGATCTCTGCACATACCGGCGTTTTTGTCGGGGAGTCTGTCGATGCGCCACACAATGGCGTTGTACGCGTGCTCGTACTTCGCCGTGCCGATCGTCACACGCATGACGGGCTCCGAGCCGGAGACGCTGGTCGTGCCAAACTTGGCGCTCTTGTTCACCTTGGCCAGGAGCGACTTCTGCTTGATGAAGTTTTCCGTGCGGAAGATCTTGACCCAGTCCGGCGGAACGGGGTAACGCACCATCACGTTCTCGCAGGGCACCTGCCGCAAGACGTTCCTGTTCGGCGAGAAGCCCGGCGACATCAACAGCCACGACTGCAGCTCGATGAAGGCCCCGCGGACCGTTGCCACGGTTTTCAGAGAAAACGGAGTCTCCTTCTCGCAGTACGCCGTCCGGAAGCGCATTACTTCAATCTTGCAGGCGTCCGGAGGCGTGAATTTGATCGCTTTTGACTCGGCAAAGGCAGCAGCATCCACGCAGGAGTGAAATTGACAGTCGTGCAGTCTGATCCAATTGTTGCACGAAGACGCAATAATGTCCTGCCTGTTGACGCTCTCCTTGCCCCTGACGTCAATGTCGTTGATGCCGATGACGCACTCAGGCTTCCCAGAGACGAGTGCCATGGCATATATGTGTGTCGTGACGGAATGCTTGACCAAGGTGCTGTCGTCTTTCCTTAAGATGCCCCTAAATTCATCCGCAACCTCGATTTCCACGGTGTCCTCGGTGTACACCGAGCACCTGTCCAGCGGCACTGTGAGGTGCATCAGCTGATCGCGAATCGTCTGCAGGAAGCTGGTGAAGTCGTTGTAGTCGGGTGTGCCCAGCTTGAGCAATTCCGTCCTCGTTTCGCCATGGGCCTGCAAGATTTTGCTCGGGTACTTGCGCTTCTCCTTGAAGGAGACACACTCAATCCTGATGGTGTGGATTTTGCCGAGCTCGTTAAAATTTTCCAGCCGGGGTTCCGAGAGCTCGTGGTCGGGCTGCAGCTGGAATTCCTTGAAGGGCTTCTCGAGACCCTTCTCGTAGTAGAACATAAGGAGGCCGTCAGAGACGGTGGTGTAGATATTCCCCCACTGCCGGGAGGACATCTTCGTTTTCTTCTCCGGAATCCTCATCATCAGTGGCCAGCCGTCTTTTGATTCGACCTCGGGGAAGTCTGGGCAGTAAGCATACGGAGTGTCAACAGATTCGTCGGACAAATAAGGATCTTCCTGCGCGTACGAGTCCACAATCTGAATTTGTTTAAGTTTGTCAATGACCTCGGCGTGTGGGTCAGGCTTTGTCGAGTCAACCGACGCATTTAAGTCTTCTGAGTGATAGGATCCGTTCAACAGAAGTTGCGGCGACTCTTGACCGGACTGCTGCTGCTGTTGCTGCTGCTGCTGTTGTTGTTGCTGCTGTTGTTGTTGCTGTTGTTGTTGCTGCTGCCCAGTTCCCTTCTCTTCCGGGTTCTCAAAACTGTCAAAGAACGACTGAAAAGGGTTTATGGTGGAGGGCTGGACATCGTCGTATAGATTGATGAGGAATGGATTCGATGGGTGGAGCGGAGTGTGCGGCGGCGATGGTTGCTGAGCCACGGGAGTGGGAAACGTCCCGTTGCTCGTGGATGGCGCGGGGAGGGAGGCGCTTTGCTGCGACTCAAACGTGAGCAGATCAAGGGCGCCGCTCCCCTTCTGCTCCGCGAATGAATGCCCGTCGGGGTTGGCCTCGCCCCAAGCTTTAAATCCGGGGTCATCATCAAAGGTCACCCAGTTTGAAAAATTTTCCGAGGTCGTCATGGTTCAAGATTTTTTTTTTGTTACCAGAATGAAAGAGCCAGTTGCTGAGTCAATCCTTTTTTTTACATGCCACTGTGTTCAGGAAGCAGTATTTTCTGTGCCTGTAAAACATAAAACAAAATAAACAAAAATGTTTACAGTTGAAGCCAACACTTCCCCCCAGCTGGTTGCAACGTGAATACTCGTACGGTAAAAAAAAGCTAAACAATTTGCCACACAAAAAAAACCTTTGACTGTACAGTACTTGGAATGTGATGTCAAAAATATCTGCTAATACACCAAACGATGATTAGATTTGGAGCAAAGTTAGACAGACTATATTGAATGACATACAATTCGTCCGCTCTGTAACAGCACAGTGCACTTGATAGCGTAAAGCACGGTGTCATACAAATTGTGTACAAATGTGCCCACTGTATGTTCACCCTGGGCAGTCCAAGCACCACACACAAGGCTTGTTTGTATTCCAACGCCCTTCCCACCCATTACCAACCTCATAATAAATAAATAAGCCCCTGAAAGACAGCATGCAAGCCTGGTGCCATCGTTTCACATTAACCTTACGGCGGGTCCCAAGGTTCATGTGCTCATCACATTCCCAGGAAGGACGAGGACGTGGATAATTACATCATTAAGCGTGTGACAATTGAGGGAGGGTGGGGGGGTATCTAGATTTAACACATGATAACCCGCAAAGATTTTGTTGAGAAAAGGATTTTTTTAATGAAATGGGAGATGAGATACTGTGATGAAAGCTGTCAGAAGTGGGTGGTAAAGTGTTCCAACGGAATTCGCATGGGTTTTCTTCTACATACTGTACTGCTTATATGTGACAAATTATTGGAGTGATTGTAAGCTTTGGCAGCGGTGCACATTCTCATCTGCATAGCACATTATTTACGTGCTATGAAGGGTCATTGATAGAAACCTTGTCTATTATAATATACTTTTATTTATTTTAAGGCCACACGATGTTGTTAACTATTTTTGTATATGTGTTGAATGTGTTTGTATATATGTGGGTTATCAAGTTTTTTTTTTACCAAGATACCGCTCAATTCACCACCAACCCCTCCACTACTGATTCGACAAATTGTCACGATTCTAGTTGCGATTCGATTAAACAAACGTTCACTTTGTTGTCTCGGCTTTGGCCATCTCATTTGTACTGCAATTTCTTTCCCCGACTCGTTTTCTACAGTTTTGTTCACTCCGTCAGCCTACATTTTACTTTTAATGTAGCAACGTTTTAATGATCTTTACGGTAATTAATTATTACAGGCACAATTCATGCAGCATGCGTCGCGAGCTTCAGTAACTACATTACACAATGAATCGATACATCACTAAAACGCCTAATACAGAAATAACAGTCATCATCATTGTATGATGTATGTTGTCCTCCACATATTATTGGGTCTCTCAGGCAAGTCACGTAGATAGGTTCAAACAAATTCCTGCGGAGGGAGCTGGTTGAAACGTTGGGTTGCTTGGTCAATGGCCAGGGTCAACGGCGGCATTGTGTATTCCGCAAATATGCCCGACTCTGAGGGCAGGCACAAGCCAGTGTGTGTAGGTTAAACATTGAGTTTTATAAGGGCACCACGCGATGACCAGCCCCACACTCCCCACCCAGCCCCTCCCCACCCTCCCCTCTCCACCCAGCCCCCCCCATTTTTGTATGCACGACGGACGGACACAATAATCCCCTGTGGGCTGGTGGAACCAGGTGGTTCCTCCCAGTAAAAATAAACACAAGCGATCGTCATCCTCCACAGTTTAAACATTTTCCCGCATTGGGTGTGTGCGTGTCATCTGGCTCCTGGCAACAGCCCGAAGCTGTGCTTTGTGACTGAACATTCGCTTTGCCACGATGCTTTTGCAATGGTTGTGCCAACAAGCCAGACTCGGCAGAGGAGACGCGGGTCAGGAGGGAGAATTGGGCCCTCGCACGCACGCATATAAAGTTCTTGACCGCGAGGCCATATGGGTCCAGCCAGGAGTGTTGACGTAGTGTGAACAAAACACGTTTCATCACACTCACTCGGCCCGTGTTAAGACGTCAGCATGACCCACGGGACGCTATCGGTCGTTTACCAAAAATTACATGGCTATGACCACCTTAATGATCTGTAGTACCTGTTCAATGTCAATGTGCAACCGCCAAATCAAAATAATATCACGAAAACGAATTTATCTATAGAAGGGTAACACTGTACAGACATTAATGGTACTGAAAACATTGCGCGGTAATGCATTATATGACTATGCTGTACGGGATAAGAAAAGTCAGTGATTTCATCCTCAAGTGAACAGAGGTGATGCCCATCTCCTATTTACAACCCAGAGCCAGTGGTGGAAATTCCACAAACCTTTGGCAGGGGCGAGTCTCTCCATAGACTGTTGACTTCCGCACAAACATTTTGCTCATTTTATCGACCCCCGCAGGGTAGATGGCTTGAATCTACCGCTCAGCCACCTGGCACATAATATAAACGGTATCTTAGTCCAACAGCCTTTGGGATTTCAAGACCAATATTATCCCGCAGCATTTGTTTAAACACGTATGGTCTCATTCGCAGCGTCGGGCTTGTTAAACAAATACTGCTGGGTTGGCAGACGATATTGGCAAGCGCTCTCAGTCTACGTGATGGGGCCCATCTTACTGTATACTGCATTCACAAATATACTTATTTAATTTGTATTTTACCAGGTAAGACCCGCTGAGCCACATAGCTCTTTTTTAGAAGGCACGTGACCATAAATGATCGCTCAACAAAGCGACTTATCGTGTGGATATTGACAGCAGCCAAATACTCTAAACGTAATTACCAGCGAAACGTCGTACTCAATTTTTAAATGATGTTGATTCACTCTTCAACACACCGGTGGGCTAAATAAGTGAATGATTTTGTCCTTTGTAAAGGTGACACATTTTTTACTGTTTGGCCGTGTCGGGTGGTGGAGGGTTATGACACATTTATAAATAACGCGATCTAACCGAAAAACCTTTAGTATGAAAAATACTCTAAACGAATGTTTCTAAATGTGGAGGGAAAAACTGGAGGACCCAGAGAAAAATTCACACGACCACGGAGAGAAACATGCAAACTCCAAATATACAGCAGCAGGCGTCTGGGTTGGTTCTGTGATACAACCATCAATCTAGCACCTGCACATGAGCTGATTTCATTGCTCCATCTCCTCCGGCTCTCAGACGCATCCCATCCATTGGCTGCCACTCCCGGCAAGATTTTTGCCCAATGGCCACCATCCCTCCCTCCTATAGTGACATGTCGATCCCATGAATGAAAAGAATATTTATTTTACAACCCATAATTCTCAACGGCAATGCAAGATTCGTTTTGTATCCATAACCGACAGACTCCGGTCACATGCTACATTTGTACTATATTTGTAAAACTTTGGCATACGTACAGCAACTGAACTGTACGCTCAAAACATTCCGCGAGACATTTTCCTTTGCACCGTGGACGCTTTTAAATTAAAGTTTGCCGAAACAAATTCACTCGTCGTCTTGCAAACAAGCAAGGCTATGCAGTAGCGACTGAAAGTGCACTCTGTTGCCAAATAAAACACTAACGCTGCAACGTTCCACTCTATACATAGCGATATGCGTGAACGCAGCTGAGCTCCAGGCACAGCAATTCACATGTTGGGGTCTTGCTCGGTCTTGAAATTGCACTGAGTGGTGGGCAACCCTGGGGGCTAAGTCTGCGCAAGCAATTCAAAAGGCAGCATTACCGCAAACAATGAAAGCGCACCCGAGAGCCGTCATTCAGCACGATGTATGGCCCTGAAGAACAGAAGACGCCCTATGTGTTCGTTCTCAAGAGTGGTTTTTGGTCCAGGTTAAGTGGGCTAGAGTGACAACTACTGCCCCTTGCACCACCTTTCCAGGGTCTCACGGGACGCAGTGGGTCCTGACTGAGCATGAGTAACCACCCACTGACACTCCAGAGGGTGTCTGTCTGACAGCCTGCCTCCGAGTAGTGTGTGTGTGTGTGTGCATTTGGAAGCTTGTGTGTAGGTTTTTATGTGTGTGTGTGAGTTTGGGTGTGTCTGTGTGCTTGTAAGCTTTGCGTGTGTATGGGTGTTTATACATTTGTATGGGTGTTTGTACATTTTTGGGAGCAGTGGTGTAGCGGTTAGCGCACTGCGCTACGAACCTGGTCACCCAAGTTCGATTCCCACTCATGGTCAACATCAGTGAGGATCATCTGAACCGGTCCTGGGCCTCCCCTAAGTCAACCCAGCCTCAAATGAGTACCTGGTGCGGTGCGTGTGCCGTTCTGGCCTTCATCGGTGCACGCTAACAGCACTTGCTCCAACAGTCTGCTCAGGCTATACAGGAGATATTTGTCTTTGTACATTTGCCTGTGTATGTTTGTAAGTTTATGTGTGCTGGCCTTGTGTGTGTTAGCCTTGTGTGTGTGCTTGACTGCGAACGTTTGTTTTTGTCTCGTGTTTGTTTTGCCAATTGAGACACAGCCATCATCTGTCTCTTGTTACTTTTGTTAACAACCTTTCTGCGAAGCGCTCCTATCCTGCCTAACCTGCTAAGTCTAGCAAAGCTGACCGTCATCAGACAGTCTGAGACAATATGTAAAAGATTACTTTTAAGGTTCATTTACCCTGTCAACTATATACTGCTACAATAATACTCTTTGGGTCTTTCAGTAAAGTCACATAGATAGGTACCCATCTACGTGATTTTACCGAGAAGACCAAAAGAATATGAATTCCTGCAGCCACGAAAGCTTCAAGTCAAGATTTGCTACAATAATATTACGTTCTTCTTTCACAGCGTTTAAACATTGGTACCACCGGCCAGTTCGGAAGTCTAATTATTAAATACCTGGTGGAAACTAAAGTTGCCACCTCTGGGATATGAAGAAAATAGTACATATAATGGAATAACGAATATCTCAGAACAACAAAAGAGGGGAGAGCCCCATACGAAATGCATTGTCTGGGTGTATTCGTGCTATATTATTATGCAACTGTCAAAAACTAGGACTTTTATTGTCCCAAGATGACTTGCAGATTTCCCAGGACGGCCAGCCACAACCTCAGAAAG